TTACTATCCTTTGCTCTCTTGTAAAAAATATCTCAGAACCAGCAGATGTCATAGTGGTTATGCTGCTGGACTCCAACATAGCCGAAGATGGTTCAAGTCCCAGACCCAGCAGCTTAAAACTCACATGGGGCGTGTGTGCATGTTCACATGTGTGCCCAAAATCCTGAGAGTGGAGGAGAAGGGATTTTGGTGTGACCATCTACCCTGAAGTGATGATTTCTCGCTTTCTATTTCTCTGTCTCTCTCAGTCTCTCTGACGAGTGCACATGGCCTATAGCAAAAATCTCTCAAAAATAAAAATTATTATCTCTTCCTTCTTCCTTGCTCTCTGCTGATGAACTTGATTTCTAATTAATTGAATAAAACACAAACATGCACATCACACACACACACACACACACACACACACACACACACATACTCTGAGTGGTTGCTCTAACATTAAGAGAGTACTTCTCCATAATTTATTTACATTTCCCTCTTCATCTCACACTCTACCTTTAATTCTTTCCTATCTTTTGTTCTTTTACACACATACACACGCACACACACACACCTCCCACCATCTTCTCTACCAATTTGCTCAAATCTGTTTCTGTATATTTAGCCTTTCCTTTTATTAGGGCAGTTAACCTAATCTAGATCGTATATAAGGTCAAACATTGCACTTTGCCTTGTACCTAAGGTTTTCAAACATCCTCATATTGCCCAGGCTGATCCTGATTTACAGATTTGTTTTTTGTGTTATTATCATAAAATCCATTTCACTGGTATGGTTTTATATGTAATGTTTAATTTTTTTAAATATTCACTTCTAGTATTTCTTTTCAAACTAATATTGGTATTTATGTTTATGGTCATAACTGAAAATGACTTCCCTATTTACAGAAAGAAGTGCCAAGAAATTATTTGCTCTTGGTGTCAAATTCATTAAATATGGTACTATCGTTATGTAAACAAATTAAATGATCAATACTTTTTCTCAGAGTACATTAACCAAATAATCTATATTTGGTGGAAATTTGAATTCTATTATTTAAAAAAAAATTCTAGTTTCTGGGGCCAGCAGATGCATAATGGTTACATCATTTGATTTCCACATAGTTGACTGTGGTTCAAGTCCTGGACCCAGTGGCTTAAAACATGCCAGGCGTGTCTGCATGCATGCCCAAAATCAGGAGAGGATATTTGTCAAATATCATTATTTTAAATTAAAAAATTGATATTTATAAAAATATATGTGTTTAAATTTAATATAAAAATTAAAAATAAGAAAGATAAGTAATGCTAAAAAATTGATATTTAAAGAATTTTAAAATTAAATAATCTACCAAAACCAAGAGTAAGTAATTATTATACAAATAAATATTTCATGTTCTGTGATCTCTCAGTGATTAATACATGAAACAATTATAGAGACTTTATCGTAGCATAAATTATGAATGTTTTCAAAATGAATCATAAATGGAAATTATAGGATTTTCCTCATAAATTGAGTTTATTTTTTTTTCCGTGATAAATTGCTAAATCCATTCTAAATCTTAAAATCTGTGCAATTTTGCCTCATACAAACTATTATTCACTTTTGAAAGGTAATATACTTTTATCTGTAGAACAAAATTTAAAAACTTATAATCCTAATTGTCCAAATAATCTTTACTTCAGTTCATGGATTTGTACAGGTTGTCCTGCATTGTTAGGCCGAATATTTTGAGTACAGAAAAACAAACAAACAAACAAAACAACCAACAACCCTACTCATCATTGGTACCATATTATAAGCATCATACTTTTTCATTTAATTTTTAAAATTTTTATTTTCTACTTTCATGAGCTAGAAAGGAGAAAGAGAGAAAGAACATCCCTAACCTGTTTTCCACGCTGTGACCCACCCCTAGCCTGCATGCACTTAATGGACGTATGCCCAGTGAAGGGAAGACATTTCCAGACATGAGCCGGGAACCTTCCTATGTAGGATTGCCTTCCAGAGAACTGTACAATATTTTATTGCTTTGTCACGGTCTGACCACTTCAATTTGTTTTTAACATAAAAAAGAAAATCAGTTAAAATATTTATAGTATTTGTTTTCACAGTACAAATACAAGGACAAAGTGCTATAAAATTTCAAATGAAAAGTCAATCATGTAGGGGCCAGCAGGTGCGGTAGTGGTTAAGGTGCTGGGTTCCCACCTGGTCAACTACAGTTTGAGTCCTAGATCTGGTGGCTTGAGAATCACTGGGTACATATATATGTAAGCCCAATATCCTGAGAGGAGAAAGAAGGAGCAGAGATTGTGGAGTATCCTTCCTCCCTAGGGGTGATATCTCAGTTTTCCTCTCTTTCTCTCTCTCCAATGACCACACACGTCCTATAGCAAAAGGCTTTTTAAAAATGTAAAAGCAAATTCTTCTAATTATGCTAAATATGAATACCTTTCTTAATCATTTTAGAAATATATAGCTGTAATCTCTTGTGTCAACCTAGTAAAGCCTGTAGTCACTAGCCATTATTACATATTTCTGAAGAGTATTAAAGTAAATGTGCTATGCAAAACACATTGTTTTTGTGGATATTGTAAACATGATCTAAATATAATCTAAATCATATTGCAGATTCTAGTACACGTACTATTCCTTTTGTTGTTGTTGTTAGCGAGGTTTTTTGTTTGTTTGTTTCTTTCTTTCTTTCTTTCTTTTTGCTATAGGGCACATGCACTCACCAGAAAGACAGAAAGAGACAGAGAGACAGAAAGCAAGAAATCACCCCCCCAGGGGGGATGGCCACACTGCAATCCCTTCTCCTCCATGATCCTCTCAGGATCTTGGGCACACACACACACACACACACACACACACCCCTGGCTAGAGTTTAAGCCACCGGGTCCTGGACTTGAACCGTCGTCGAGAACATGGGAGTTCAGTAACATAGCCATTACACTAACTGCTGTTCCCATACACGTACGTATAATACAGAAGAAAAAAAAAATCCCTGTAGATATATAATTATCCTGAAACGTGATATGGTACAAATATATATGTTTGCATACATCATGTAGATTTAGAATACACCAATAATATATCAAGAATATCAGCTAATAAGATTCAGTAAGTCTATAGTAAGTCCTCAATCCACATATTAATAAAACAGAATGGATAAGTGACATGAACCACCAACTGAAACACTGACTTAGAAGATATAAAATTTATATGAAAGGGGGCCAGCAGGAGGTGTTGAGGGTGCTGGACTCCCACTTGACTGACTACGGTTTGAATCCTGGACCTGGCGACTTTCTCTCTCTCTCCTCTCTCTCTCTCTCTCATCAGATTAAAAAATAAATAAATAAGTAAAGCTAACTAGAATAAATAATTCCTTTTCAAATGAAAGACATAAAATAGCATCCAAGTTAACATCTTAAAAAATAACTGAAATAATGACTAACAGTAAATGAAACAGTATTGATGTCTGAGTTCATACAGCTACTAAGAATCCTGTTAATAGAAACATATCATGGTTAGCTAAGGTTCTGACAAATTTTTCAGAATTTCTTATATCGCACACAATTTGTGAACTCTTTTTATTAAAAACAGTTTACCTTTACAAATTTAACCTTGAGAAAAATTACCATCTCTTCTGATTTGGAACTTCTTATGCAACTTATAATAAGCTATCAAATGAACCAATTTTGACACCTTTTTTTTCTTTTTCATATAATGAATGAGTAAAATTTGTGATTTTACAGCGGCATCTTAAAGATAATTTTTGGTGCAAAGCATAACCTGAAAGATTTAAATTACATTTGGGATCTGATTTCATAAAAACTTTATCGAAATTTATCAGGGGATGGGGCCAGCAGTTGGCAAGGTGGTTAAGGCATTGACCTCCCATCTGGCTAACCAGGATTGAAAATTCAAATCCTGGACCTGGCTACTTGCTTTCTCACTTTCTCACTCTCGTTCTGTCTCTGGTGAGTACACATGCCCTATAGCAAACTTATAATAATAAATAATAATATATTAAATTAAATTAAAATAAATAAATAAATAATTTAAAAAGTTATCAGGAGATTTATAAACTTAAGATAGAAAACAAGTCACCGCTATAAATGTATAATGTTTAATATTCAACATGTGATTGACCCTTCTTACCCCAATGTTAATTAAATTGATGAGCCATCTCTTATGGTAAGCTACTAGTTTAATGTACTTCCATGTAGATTGCGCTTTCTTCAGTTTTTATTGTATTTTAGTCTGTAGTATAGAAAATATTGAATTTCTTGACCTCTAAGAATTACTCCCAGGCCCTGAGAATCACATTCTGAGACAATACTGAAGTCGTTCTTCAAAAAAACAAGAGAAGTTGGGCCCAGCAGTTGGCATAATGACTATGTTGCTGAACTCCCATGTAGTCGACCATGGTTCGAGTTCCGGACCCAGTGGTTTAAACTCACGCCGGGTGCATGTGTGTGAGTGCCCAAGATCCCAAGAGGAAAATGGAGGAGAAGGGATTGTAGCGTGGCTATCCCCCTGGTGGGTGATTTCTCACTTTCTTTCTCTGTCTTTCTGGTGAGTGCACGTGCCCTATCGCAAAAAACCTCTCCAAAAAAGGAAGAAAAAAAAAAAAAAAAAAAAACAAGAGAAGTTGTACTATAGTAAAATTAGATAACAATTATATTCTACGTTTTTTTATTAATATAACTCCTATTAGGCATGGAGATGTCCATCATATTTCCTTCCTGTTCAATTATAAAATATAAAATGAATATTTAGAGTTTTTCTACTTCAAAATAAGAAACTTTATTAAAGAAACGTGTTCCTATAACTAGTCCAAAAATGGAGGAGAAAAAAATAAACAAACATAAACTTATTCCAAAGTTGGTGTGGACAATATTCATTGAATGAAAAAAAGTGAACTTAATAACACCACATTTTTGGAACTTTAAAAAAGTGAGCTTTTTGCCAAAGTAATAACTGCTTTCTTTTTTCTTTTTAAATAAACTAGATGGTAATGCTGAAATTATAGCCAAACCAAAAGAAAATGAAGGCACTTATCAAGTTTATGGATAGCCATTCACTGTCTGATATTTAAAGTAAAACAGTTTCTGGGACCAGCAGATTTTGCAATGATTACATCCCTGGACTTCCACTTTGTCGACTACGAGTTCCAAATCTGCAGGCTTGAAACTCATTGGGTACCCTTGGGTGTGTGCCCAAGATTCCAAGATGAGAATGCAAGAGAAAGGACTGGGGCATGGACATCCCCCACAGGGGCAGGGGAGGGGTGTGATTACTCGCTTTCTGTCTCTGGTTCTCTGGTGAGCACATATGCCTTATAGCAAAAATTTCTCTAATAAATAAATAAATAAACTGGTTTTAAAAGACATGGCAAAGGTAGAGACTTCATATAATTCTGACTGAAGCATCCGTGTGGCTTCACAGTCATCCGACAGCACTGTAACAATCATAGATTGCCTTAGCAGATTTGTGAAAGTAATTCACTACAGAGCAGCATCACTTTCCCTTGTGTTTCACTTGTATTTTCAAAGTGAGCTCTCTCACACCCTGTTTAAAATGGCAGCACATACTTCTCACCACTAGCACAATTCCCTAAGTTTTCTTAAGACTTACGACTATTGAAACCACTCATAGTACCTTTCCACATTTTATCGTCTACATCAATATAACTTTGAGTTTTCCACTTTCTTCATCAACGGAACAAAGTGATCAGAATGTAGTCATGGCTTTCGCATAATTTTGTTGCATTTTCCGGGAAATTCTAGCCTAGAAAGAGAAGAGAGTTCCAAGTTTTATTTTATTTTATTTTATTTTGTTATTCATTTATGGAACTCATCCAAAGACCTATGTCACTAACCATCACACAAAATCATAAAAGATTTTCAGAGTCTGAGGAATGACACTTAAAAGGAATATAAAGATGCAGAGTATTAATGGGACAAAGAAATGTGGTATCATCTGTTGAAGATAATTTTATAGTTTTATCAACTAGACAAGGGAGAAATGTTCACAAGTTGGAATATTCACTTTGTAAACTAAATTATGTGATTGAACAGATAAAAGAAAATGAAATAAAAAATACTGAACAAAAATTAAATGTATGTTTTACATTTATTACAATACCACATTAAAAAAGAGATTTTCAGTCCATATCAAATTATTGTTTCTCACCAAGCTTCTTCAAAATCCTTTCCTCAAAATTCTCATTTTGCTGTGTTCACCAATACTAAACTATTACATTAGGATCTTTATCCAGTTCAAATTAAACTACAGTATTACAGATTATAAATATCACAGCTTTGGGCCCTCTGTTTTATATGCTACTGAGACTTTATCAAGTTAGTGCTCTTCTTCATCATAGAAAGTAATGTATTTAAACTTTTGTCTTACTAACAAATTTCTGTGTTGTTTTGGGAAGGCAGCATTTAACATTTGTCACCACTAACATATTGTGTATTTGTTCATGGTCTGTGCCTCCAGCCAGAAAATTAGAAATTAAGACTAAAATCTCTAATAGTAATTTGAGAGACCAGAGTTCCTGCTAAGAATCAAAGATGCCCGGGGCATAAGTATGATACAGAAAGAAAGAAAGCCACAAGTTTAGAGAGGAAATAATATTAGAGGCTTGAAGTATATTGTCTTTCTTTACTTAACTTTTAAAAAGAAATTTATTTTAACATTTAAAGAAAAATGTTTTTATCTTGAGATTTAATCTCTCTGCCTTTTAAATCATTTTTACAAAACGAAACACAGCAAAAGTTGGAAAGCCCTAAGTATTTTGTCTATACTTGATATAAATAAGGAAATGAGTTAGAAACCATACAATCTCCCTGTATACAGTAGCCAGAATATAAACTGTTTGAGGACTCACCAGGAGGTGATGTGATGAAGGAGGAAAAATGTGAGGATGGAAAGTGAAAAAAAAAAATGTAGACTCAGATAGTGCCTTCATCTGAGTACAACGATGTGTCCCAAATACTCCATATGAACCACATTGGAGTTAATGGGGAGACCAGGTATGTGCCAGCTCTTACTTGACATAAACAAGGGTCCAGAAACAGTGAAAGATGAAGTGCAACAATAAAGGGGTGGATAAGGTTTTTTATTTTGTTTGTTTGTTTTTGTTTTTGTTTTTTTCTTGACCTACTTCCCTGAGCTGCTGGTAATGCAGAAAAAGGCTCTTTCAGCCTTGAGACAGTCCATATTTACTGGCATTAAGTCTTTAACAATTTATGTGTCCAACCCAACAGGGTGAGGAGAATAGATGAATTTATTGTTTGTATTTAAGGGAATGGGAAATTCATGTTAGGGAAACAACGCTTTTATATAGGAGTGAAAAAAAAAAAAAGAAAAAAAGAGTCCACAGGTACTCAGAGCCAATGTTGTACTTGCTATCCAAAAGCTCAAAAAGCACACCCCTCATGAAAATATACTGGACACATCCAGCTGGAAAATAAAATAAACTGAGGTAAATCACATGAATATCACGCAAATTGGAGAAAGAAAGGGATTTGTAGAAAGAAGTTTAAAGTCAGGATAACTTAGAAAAATAATAGGTATAAATTTAGCACTGCCAGTAAATGACTGTGGACTTCTGGAAAGCTACCATGGTAGCTTTAGAATTTCATGTTTACAGAAAATGGTATAACCACATTTCTGATGGAGTAAAACAGAATTTAGAAGGCATTCATCTGAATCATTTTACTGCCATTTCTAAAAGATTTAAACATGTAAGGTATAAAACTACACTAGTAGAATTTGTCAGTTAAGCCCTTTATTTTTCAAATGAAGGATCAGAAATCTAGAATGTAAGTAAAATATCAAGATATTGGTAAAAATGAAGTCAGGTAGGAACATAACCTCAATTCTCAAAACAATGAAAAAGATTTCCCCTCTTTTGCAATATCGCAGTCTATTTCAATCAACTAACCTGTACTTTAGTCATCCATTATGCAATACATAAATATATTTAAGCCACCGGGAAAGAATAAAAAATAAATAAATAAAATATCAAAATACATATGTCTTCTACCCTTTTGACTCATATGGTTGTTATTATTGGATAGGAATAATGGTAACGTATACATATCAGGTCTCATAGTGCCTAATATAGAGAATTGGCACCTGATGATCACATGCTAATGGTTAGTGCATATAAAAAGAGATACAAAGAAAGAATCACACATCGCATTTTTGTTTCATACTTAAAGAGACAGTATTGCTGGTTAGATTACTGGTAAGTTCAAAGAACTGGACAATTGGGCGAAAAAAGAAATTTTGCATTGCTTGATGCTTTGAAAAGTTCTTGTGTCGGGAACCAGCAGTTAGCGTAATGACTATGTCGCTGGACTCCCACGTAGTCGACCACTGGTTCGTGTCCCAGACCTGGTGGCTTAAAACTCATGCCGGGTGCGTGTGCATGCATGCCCAAGATCCCAAGAGGAGAATGGAGGAGAAGGGATTGCTGCGTGACCATCCCCTCTAGGGGGTGATTTCTCGCTTTCTGTCTCTATGTCTCTCTCTGTCTCTCTGCGAGCACACACGCCCTATAGCAAAAACCTCTCCAAAAAAAAAGTTCTTGTGTCTAAATAATTTAATTTCTAGGAAGTTTTGTTATTTGCATAACGGTTACCTTGCTGGACTCCCACAGAGTTGACCACAGTTCAAGTCCCTGACCTGTCAGCTTAAAATTCACACTAGGTATGTGTGCGTGCATGCTCAAAATCCCAAGAGAAGACTGAAAGAGAAGGGACTGAGGTATGGTCACCCCCTCTGGGGGGGGGGGCGATTTCTCACTTTCTTGTCTCTCTGTCTCTCAGAAGAGTGCACGCACCCTGTAGTGAAAAATGTCTCTCAAAAAAACTTGTATTTTATTTATTATTTTCACATTTTATAGGTAAGATAGATAAATCTTAGATAATTGATGTGTTCAAAGTTAAGCTAAAATTATCTGAACTAAGACTAGGCTAAAGGATTTCTGATCTCTATTTCAGTGCTTTAATATTAACTGTTGCAGGACCAGCCGTTAGCATAATGGCTATGTCGCTGAACTCCCATGTAGCCAACCTTGGTTCGAGTCCTGGACCCAGTGATTTAAAAATGCTGGGCGTGTATGCATGCGTGCCCAAGATCCCAAGAGGAGGATGGAGGAGAAAGGATTGTGGTGTGGCTATTGTGGCTATCCCCCCTGGGGAGTGAGTTCTCACTTTCTATTTCTCTGTCTCTCTCTGTCTGGCAAGCACATGTGCCCTATAGCAAATATATACATATATTTGTGTAAGTTGCATAAGTTACAGCACAGATAGTACTTTATGAAGCAAACAATTACAATAGATTCTATACCTTATTTTGTATAGCAAAAAATTGAATCTGGAAAGAGAAATACTGGTGCACAGTTTTAATATTCTAATCATTCATATCTCAATTTTTTATGTTTCAAAATACATGTTAATTTTGAGAAATTATGTATTTACTTTTCCCCAAATTTTCCAAACTGTACTGCAATTTGAATTTTAAAATTAGGAATTTGCTGTTAATAAGCATATTGGAAATCTTCAGTTTATTGAAATTACTTAGCTGAAAGCTACATATTGTCTTCTCTACATTTCTCTGTACAATAAATACTTATCCTCTAGGATAATGTAAAAAGGAATATATTTGAAGATGAGAATTATAATTATAGGATATAGAAAAATTTAACTTTTATTACATGCATTATTCTACTCAAGTTTGCATTCAATCCCTGTGTTTAAGTGGCAAAGAAACATAAAAACTAATAAAAATTAAGGTTATAAATAAGCAATACCAACTCTCAAAAATGCTACTACTGTGAAATATATGGTAGAATTAGTCTGTTTTCCTCTTTTCACATTTCTTAAGCATTATATGTTTAAATATTTATGTTCTTGTTTATAGAACTATCAATATATAACAGAGCTTGAGGTAGGTAAATTCTCTCTTTTCCTCTACTGACAAATTAGCAAATGTGTAATATTTGCATATCAATAGCCTTTGAGTAGATTATAAAGAGGAGAGAGAGAGGCATGGAAGAATGAAAAGAGTGATAAAGGAAGTACCATGAATGGGAGGAATGGAGAGGAATTACAAAATCTTATTAATATTAATTATGTTTTATGTTTATATGCTGTATCATAAGATTTATTAAAAGATGAGGCCTTTGTAAG